CGCACCATGACGTCACTGCTGGAAGATGGCAGGAGGGAGGGGTTACTATATTTGGGCAAAAATGGCCGCTCCCAGACTTGCAACGAAAATTATTGTTTTAATTTTTTACTGATTAACTCTAAATTCATTCAATCATTGTGAACGTATTAGTTTTGGGTATAAATAAAGAGCAGATCATACTTCTGCAACCGCACACATCAAATTTCACTTTTACTGGTATTCTTCTGCACCGTAGTTCTGGAATTTCTAGGAACGCACAGCAGTTTCCCGCCAAAGCGCAAGGGGAAGCCTATTTGAGAACTTGCGAGAACTTTGGCGGCACCGGCGGGAGTGTTTATCTTCCAAAACAATGGCGCGTCTGCAAGATATCACAGAGATGGATCTAGAGTTGCTAGACATCGAAGAGGACATTTTTATTTCTATAATTTGTCTGAGGCATCGTACAAGTGGTAGTACTTCTAAACCTCCTCGATTAACCTTTCGTCGTAGTTGTCCATTCTTCCTCGGTTTTTAAAAATGGCGCGCCCCAGCACCAAATGAAGAAGGACGACCACATGGACAGCTGGAAAGGCATACCAAGGACCAATCACAACTGCTTTTTGTTTGCGCACTTCTGTTTGAAGTCTGTGCGGGTTTGCGACTGTCTGATACGTAGTCAGGATTTTTTGAGGTGTGCAACGACGGTTGTAGAACCTTTGCGCAGGGGGCGTGGTCAATAGAGGCTATGAGTCAGAAGGATAAATTGGGCTTAATGATCCGCTGATCATTCCTTGCTGACCGGATTTTTCCTTTAAAAAATAGAAGAGAAGAAAAACCTTTCCAACTAGAATTTTTCCAAAACCAATACTCAGTAAGCGTGTTTACTGTTAACTGCACATTCATTTAAGCTTTGAACCTGAAACAAAGCTTGTATCTAAACAAGAAGTCTCACTTTAACATTTTAACATGAAGTGTCATTTATGCCTGATGATTTGAATAAATTTAACTAAATATAGGAGGATAAAGGAGACAGAAATTGTACTCAAACATGACTAGCATTATTTTAAAATAATATTACTGAAATGAAGTAAAGATGGCGAGTGGCAGCCTAGTGGTTAGGGCATAGAGCTTGGAATTCTGGGGTTCTGAGTTAGAGTCTAGGCTAAAGTGTCAGTAAATCTACAGATCATCCCATTGCAACTGAAACCAGCGCAGAGAAGCAGTGTTCAGCCACTGATACAGCCCCCCCCCTCACCTGTAGAACACACATGCCGTAGGTGTTTCCCAGGATCTTATGGGTCTCGTTGTAGTAACAGTAACGGATGTTGGTTGCAGCGACGAAAAGCTCGAACGGATCGTCCTGGTTCAGATTTAGTGTTCCAGTTTTGATCTTTTTCTGCAGCTGCCTCATCCGTTTCTTCCGGTTGCTGTTGCAGAAAAACAAAATCAACTCCCTGCCTGCTCTAAAGTTTAACTGACGTCATCTGAATGTGGTTTTAAGTGTTACTCACCTGCTAAATCCAAGGTCTTTCTTGTAGCACCAAAGGACTGAGGGTCGCGCTCTGACGGCGGCTTTGGACAGCATGTGATGGAGGATCACCACCTGCGTCAGAGACAGTTTGGTTTGTGTCGGATTAGTGGGAACCTGAACATCACAGCTGTTATTAACAGGGGCCCACTCCCACAGACTGCCACTCTGGGACCCTGAGCATGACCCTTAGCTTCACACTGCTCCCTGAGTGCCGCACAATGGCAGCCCACTGCTCCCCAAGGGGAGGGGTTAAATACAGAGTTCACTTTGTTGCTCTGTACCTGTTACAGTGGAATGACAATCAAATGCTGGAAAGGGGGAAAAAAAAATTACTTTTATGGTTTTTCTTTTCCTCATGTCACTGAGGGGGAGGCAGAGGTCTTTAGGTCCCAAAAAAATCGAACAGCCCTGCTAACGACCTTTGACCCCTTCACTCTCAACCAAAACAGCATCGATTTATTCATTTCATTCTTCTTAAGAACGTACTACCAGTATTAAGACACATATTCCTGGCTTTCAGACTTGATTTTTGTTGTTTAAATATTAATACACACCATAAGTAATGGTGTGTATTAATACATTAATAAGCACACCATTACTGTCCCCAGTTCCTATTTACAATGTCCGGCCATTATAGTTTTTATTTTGAGAATTAAGTCTTAGCATTATGAGACTGAAGTCATCCTTCAACAACCCGTTTCAGAAAGAAAGCTTGGAGCTCCGCCCAGCAGATGACGGAGTCCACTTTGACATCCTGCACAGTTTGATGCTGCTGCTAAAAGATTTACTGATTTATCAAACCGATGCTAAAGTAGAACTTCACATGATGCTCCACATTCCTCACTTTAGGGAAGAAATGGCTTCTTGGAAGAGTTGTCATAAAATGCAACTTTATTCTCGAAATTTTACAACTTTATTCTCGGAATGTTACTTTATTCTCATAATTCTATGACTCTATTCTCGTAATTTTATTACTTTATTCTCGTAATTTAATGACTATTCTCGTTGCGACTTTACTCTCATAATTTTAATTATTTTTCTCGTAATTTTACGACTTTATTCTTGTAATTTTAATTATTTTTCTCATAATTTTATGACTTTATTCACGTAATTTAATGACTATTCTCGTTGCGACTTTATTCTCGTAATTTTACAACTTTATTCTCATAATTTTATGTCTTTATTCTCAAAAGTTACGTCTTTATTCTCGTAATTTACATCTTTATTCTCATAATTTTACGACTTTATTGTCGTAATTTAATGACTATTCTCGTTGCGACTTTATTCTCGTAATTCTACGACTTATGCTCGTAATTTTACGTCTTTATGCTCGTAATTTTACGTCTTTATGCTCGTAATTTTACGACTTTATTGTCGTAATGTAATGACTATTCTCATTGCGACTTTATTCTCTTAATTTTATAACTTTACTCTCAAAAATGGAAGAAAAAAATCTCTAGCCCGGCCCTATTACTCTGTTGTACCAAATTAAATCTTGATGAAATCTACTTCTTTTTATCTACGAGCTGGAAATGTCCCCAGATTTGATGTCAGGAATCTGGTCACTTTAGATAAACCTGCCTGTAGAAATAATAAAGACTAGATAATAAACAGCTCCTCATATCTGGGTTAATAGTGTGATTCATAATGTTACTGTTTGTGCAGAATGGGATCAAATGCTAAACTGATGCTAATCACACAGGGTGGCCGTGGGCACCCCTGGCCACCCTCCGGTTGCGCCACTGGCAGTGACGAGCTACCTGGTCTCTCCCTCGGTCTCCCACAACCACAAACATGGTTCGGTGCTGAAGAGCGACTCCATTCTCGATCTGGACCCGAATCCGATTGTCTACCTTCTTGCGGACCGTCGCCATCGCACTTCTGCCACAGAGAGAAACTTCACATAATCATCAGAACATCGATGGCAGAAATCAAGACATGAGTTAAATATGTCTGCAGAAAATTAAACAATAAAACACAGACTTTGACTTTACCTTGAATAAACTTCTCAGAGATATATTCACTTTATAATAACTAGCAGGTTATGTTTGCGGCTGCCATGGGCTACATGCTACACACCATGTTGATAAACTCACGTGGAGACGGTAGTTCATAGAGGACCCCGGTGTGACGTCAAATTGCTGCGACGCATTTCTGAGCGTTTCATTGTTATCTTTTCACCATGTGGTTTAAACTGCACAGTATTTACCCAGTGGCAGAATTATTGCTCAAAAAATTCTAATTTGTTTTAACACGCTGTGCCTTTTGTGAATGTCCAGATGAAACTCTTAATCATCTCTTTTTCCTGTCCTTTATCATTTTAACTATGGAGACACATTTAATAAACAACATTTTATACAACATTCAGTTTATAATAACAGTGGTTGTCCTTTAAAATTGAGAACATCCCAGAAATAACCATCACACACATATTGTATTATGGGAACTCAGTGAAATACTTTAAAAATAAAAAATTCAACCCAATAGTGTTTTTGGAATCCAAGGCAAGACCTCATTACCTTTGGAACTTTAAAAAAAAAATTGATATTTCGATGACAAAAATTAATGTCAATGTTATAACAAGAAACGCCAACTTGCCCAAATATATTAAGAAAAATAACAAAAGTGATTCTATAAGAAATTCATGAAAAACACTGTGAGAGTGAAAGAAACATGTACAACATAACCTTAGAGGCACTTTTATTTTTTTGTTTATAGACCTAAATATAATTTTTAACTAGGCTTATTAACTTTTTATCTTTACTTTTAACTCTTGACTTTTTCCAAATTAATTTCCAGTGGATAATAAATCATTCAAGGGCTCATCTAATTGGTTAAATTCTAAAATAAGATGTGCAGCCATGTAGCAGGATCTTTGCTGAATGGCTGGATATAGATCTAGATCTTGAATTTATTCTGAAGCAATTTAAAATGTATAATACCTCATTGAAACATTTTAAATCTGTTTCTGAAAAAAAGCCAGTATTTTTATTTTCTTTTGTTTTAAATATTGCTTATTTTTCGCCTTACTGTTTACTTATATGTTCTTAGTTTTAGCCCCACGTTGTAGTATTTTCCTACCCATGTTTGTACCTCAACAAGTCTTTACTGTTTATTATATTTACAAAAAAAAAACATGTGGTATATACAGTGATTTTTTTTTCTTTGTGTTTTGATCATTGTTATGGGAACAGACTATGTACCTGAGTGATTTCAGGAGCGATAGCAAAGATATCTAAGTTTGATATTTATACTTTAGAAGCCGAAAATGTACAAAAACCTTGAAGGTCCCACTCTGCAGCTGGAAAACGTCAGCCGGAAGCCATATTGGGAGAGGAAACGACGTCATAATGGATTATTCCCCCCCACAGAGATCATTTAATTGTTTACATTTATTTTAATTTAGGGTATTCTATCCCATTAAACACACTAAAAGGTGTCTTTAGGTACTTTTAAGTAAAAATGTACTTGATAAAAATAAAAGGAAATGTTTTTTTTATCTAAAGTAAACCTGATCATTAATCAAAAATAAAGTGATCACTAGCATAAATTTCCTCTCGTGTCGTGCTGAGTTAGGATCTGCTTACAATACTGGATACAGTTCTGTAGTATTTTCCCATCCAAACAGCTTCTAAATATAAATATAATAAAGACAGTTTGACATTTTTTCTTCACTGTATGCATAAATGAAATTCTGTATCTCTAAAGTTAAAACATCTGGGCATCAAGATTGAGGAAAAATTAGTGCACAACTTCACAGCAGCAGGTTGTTCTTCCCTTACCCTGATGGTTTCTTCCAATCAGTAAGGCTTTTTGGGATGTTTTATCCATCATTGCTTACTTTACCAAGATTGGGTCACAGGTTTCAGGTGTTGGAAAATAAGTCCAGCCATCAAAACGATACAGGGGGATCCAATACGTTCCAAGATGACAAGAAATAAAGCTGCCCGGGATAAAAAAAGTTTCCGAAAGGGAAGAGCTCTGGAAGTTTTCCTTATCAGATGCTTTAAGCACCTGGCTTTTCCTTTCACTCCTCCTGTTAACCTCAATTATTCTGCAACAAATATTAAAGCGGTATCTTTGGCCCATTATTTAGAAATACCTATTAATATAAACACATCTTTGCTGATCGACTACTGTTATACCATTGAAACAGGCTAATGTCAGAGATCTGAGGAAGTATTTCTTTGTTCACTGTCTCTACTCTGACATTTCTCTACTGCAAAGTGCATTTTCTTTGTTCTCATGCTTTTTGGTGAACATTTTTTTTTCTTCTTGTAATTTTAAACCGTCTAGACACTTATTCAAAATAAGATAGAGAAGGTGCACTGTGTTTAGCTTAAATCAGTGGCATTCATTTTCTTGCAATGTAGAATATTTTCAGTAGTTTTTATTTGGATGTATAGCAGCCTCACCCAACAAATGGTGGAAATTAAAATAAAGTTTTACAGTACCTCTAAAAGAACGTAAGAAAGCGCCAACATTTGAACGCATTGTTTGATGTTCTTGTTTTATACAAACCAATTATAAAGCACAAGTTGTCTAATTTTCACAGACAGGCATTGTCTTGTTGGCTTCTTTTCTACAAACATAATTTTTCCCCACATAAATTTCTAATTTGGAATAACAAATATATATAATACAAAAATAAATCAATCTTTTATGAGACATGGATCCAGAATGATATAAACTATGTTTCCTAACTTGAAAATGAAAGAGGACATCTTCTGACATACACTGAGTTTTTAAGAACCTTTCATTTCCCAGTATCTGTGAAAGAATACAGCATAGTTTTTGATGCAATTCCAGTTGGTTTTGTTAGACTGCTTCAAGACAGGAATGGACCGATTGTACAAATACCTCCTAAAAAAAGACATTTTCATAAACGGTATTAACATTTTAGATTAAAAAAAAAATGTAACAAGTTTATCAGAAATATCGTGATTCCTCGCTGTCAGTCTTACTGGAATAGCAACTTTACAAATATTAACTGGTCATCGGTGTGGACTCACAGTAATAAATATCTAGTCACTAACAAGGTAAAAGAAGTTAACTTTAAAATAATTCATCAAATATATCCAACAAATCAATTTATTAAAAGGTATAGGAATGACTTTAATGAATCTTGTACTTTCTGTAAAGCTGTCACTGAAACAATTTCACATTTGTTTTATGACTGTATTTATGTTTTGGACAGAAATTGAACATTTATTTAAAAGATATTGTGATGGACAAATAACACTGCAGTGCAAAGACATCATTATATTTAATGATTCAAAATGTTTGACTAAAACGGGCTCTTATTTTGAATTTTCTTATTTTATTTTTAAAGTTTTATGTTCATAAATGCAAATGCTCCAGTTTAAAACCCAATTTGCCTCAATTCAAAAGACCGTAAATAATTTTAATGCCTTTGAAAAATGTATATGAAAATTTTTTACCCCTCCCATATGTTTCTTTTTCACTATTAATACTCTTGTAATGTATTAATTGATGTTTTGATATATTTTTTGATACTGTTTGTCAATTTTGTTAATAAAGTTTTATTGAAAAAAAAAAAGTATAATAACTGAAACAAGACTATGCAACACAACTTTATTGAAATTCTTGAAGCAACATCAATTTACAAACAAGGAAACGGGAGCTCGTTAAACAAAATGTCTTCTTTCTTTGAACCAAAATGACAGAAAAGAACCGAAGAAGGGAAGGAAACTCCCAGAATTTGGACCAGCAATGGCAGGTGCAATTGTTAATAAAAATATATATATATAACTTATGGAATCTTTCAAGTTTACAGGACTGTTGGTACACACGGGTCGTGTAAACCAGCGATTTGGGTTCACAGCTTACCTTGTGTGTTTTGAGCTTTTAATGATTTATTATTTCCAGATATCAAAGCTCGCACCACTTTGATTGAAGAGACAGAAAATCAAAAAATACCACTAATAAGGAACAAAGAAATCAGAGCAAACGTGAGCTGGGGAAAATGCATTCATGAATCTTAAGTTTTTCAGTGTGGTGCAGATTTTTTTTCAGTCACAGTCATTTTAAAAGGCAAGTTCAGGTTCGCATTGCTTGAGTGCTGCTCCTTGAGACTCCTCTGGGTCCTTGGCCAGCTCCTCGCTTGTAATTTTGTTGGTAACCGTCCTTGATCAGCGGTAAAAAATAAAAGATACATTTAAGAAACTATTCTGAAACTACATGTGTTTTTTTTTTTTTTTTTT